GGCCCATGTCGGGAAAGGTTCTGGCCAGTGGGGAGGCCCTACCGTTTCCGCACGGTGAGCTCTGCCTCCCTCAACAAAGGATTCCCTTGACTTCCTTTTGCTTTGAAAACAGTAAAGCAGAAAATAATCTTTCTTTATGTTTTTTCCAATAAGCTAGACAAAATAAAGGCGTGATTTTCCCATCCGAGAAGCTCACGTTAGGTGTCTGACCAGCTGGCGCTGCAAGGCTGTCAGGAAGACCCGCAGAAGGGGGAGAAACCCAAAGATACTGCGGCACCGCTCTGCAACCTGCTGCCGCCGGCTGCGGCTTGGTGCACGGTCTCCAAGGCCGGCAAGGTGTTTCTGTTCTAGTAACCAGAACAGACTTGGTATGGATGCAGAGAGAATCTCCTCATTTATATTCTAAACTCAGCAGGAAGTGAGACACGAAGGTGACCTGCAGCTGTGGCACTATAAACAGGACCCGCCTACCACCTCGTCTAGATTCTACAGTGCGCTACACGCCCTGAACTGAGATGGAGAGAGTTTCCAACACTGGAAACCCAGCTTTTCAGAAAGCCCAGTGAAGCTGCTTGCACGGGTATTAGCGAGTGTCGTCCGCTGTGGGGACAGTAGTGGCCCTGCTGCCAGTACCACACCAATAGCATACACTGCCGATGAACCACCAGGAGCTCAGCCACGGCGAGTCAGTGAGTGGGCATGGCTGAGTTAAAGGTCTCTCTTCCCGCTAAACTAGACTACTCCTTTAACTGGATTGCAATTCATTTGCAAGCCTGACAAAAGCCACAAAACTTTGTGCTTCAAAATGCATGTAAAAATACAGGATGGACACTTTGCATAGACTCAGGGGCTCACCTCGTCCTTCCTTCCTTCCAATGGACTGCCTGGCTGAAGACTATTAGATAACATTCCTGCCCAGGCTCAAAGTCTGCTGGGAGACACTGGGTGTTTAGTAAGTATTCTATGAATCACTCAGCACCATAGACTGGTGTTTTGTTAAGACCAGAGCTAACCTAATGTCATCTAGTCCCCAGTGCAGAGCTGACCAGTAAGCCCAGGGATGACTAAGAGGTATGGTAAAGATGAGACAGACCACACTGTAAACATTACAGGCTGAGAATGCCTCATCCAGATGCTCGGGACCAAAAAGCGTATTGAATTTCAATTTTTTTCAGGCTTTGGAAGAGCTGCATATACACAACAAGCTTTCTTGGCAGTGGGATCCAAGTCTAAATATGAGAGTCATTTGTATCTCATAGGCACCTTCTGCGCTGCCTCAGGGTGATTTTAGGTGCTAGCTCTAGTGCCCTGCATTTTGAATGTGATCTGTAAATGCAGACAGAAGTGTGATTTTCCATTTGTAGCATTGTGCTGGTACTCAAAAAGTTTTGGATTTTGGAGTATTTCAGGGTTTCAGATTTTGAAAGGAAGCTCAACTTGTAATAAAACTTCTTGGAAGAGTTTTGGAGAAGTCTTGCTCTGAGCTGAATTTCTTTTCTTTCTTTTTTCTTTCCTTCTTTTTGACACAGTCTTGCTACGTAATTCAGGCTCAACTTGAACTGATTGTGTTGCTTGAGCTAGCCTCAAAGTCACAGAACTCCTCCTGTCTCAGCCCCCCAAATGCTGAGATTACAGGTGTGCACCACCATGTCTCGTTTCTGGGTTGAATTTCTTCATTTGTAAATGTATAACACAAAATTATGGAGCCATACAGAGATTCAAAGGGATGCTAACAGACAAACCTGGAGCTTTATCGTTATGCTGACCAAGTACTATGCTTAGAAAATAATCACACTCAAATAAAAGAAAGCCAAAGGCTCCCGGTACCTGCCAACCTAAACATGTCCACGGTAGCTAATTCCAAAACAGGAGCTGTACAAAGGCACCTGAAGATAATCCACGAAAGAGAGAGAACAAATAAATATCATGCCCCTGATCTTCGCTAGCCAAGGTAAAGCAACAGAGCACAGTAGTTTCTTTCTGTCCCAAGTCCACAGGACCTGAATTTCAGGTGCTGTCCTGGCCGAGGGGCAGATGCTCTGGCCATCTGAGACCATCCTGGAAAGAGAGGGAGAGACGGCTTTTCCGCCTCCTACCTGACCCTGCAAACCCTGCTCCAGCAGGTCTCTGAGATCTTTGGTTGGTGTATTTTCAGCTAATCTTTTTCTGGGGAGGTAGGGGAAGTAAAGAGCAGAGTGAAAATTAGAAGTTTTTATGTCTTCTTCTATTGTAGTAGATGAAGAAATTTGAAGTGTAATTTTAAAAAATTTTTGCAACACCAGTGTTTGGAGGATAAAAGCTATTCAATTAGAAATGATTTATAAACAGAGACCGGGACAGCGTCCCTCATCCAAGAAAGCCTCTCCTGGGGGAGGGAGCGTGTGTTTCTAGCAGCTGGGAAGCTGGAGACCCAGCTGTGCGACCACAGGACAGCGTGGCCCGGCCATCGCAGCAGTGAGGGTTTGGATGCGGGTGGAATCCTCCCCCCCGGAAGTCGTCTTTACGGCTCCTTCCTGGAAGCATCCACTCACAGAACGAAGGAGCCCATCTTGCCGATGGGCCAAAAATCAGTTCACAGAAGGGTTTCCTGACTTTCTTCCTTCTACAAATTCGCCTGTCACCACTGTGGATAATGTGAGTTTGCTTTTCGTGGTCCACAGATTATTTCTTTTCTTCTCTCGGTGTTCACAGTCTATCGCAGATACAACCACAGGACACTCAGTTTTCTCACTGGAGAACTGACTGAGTAATAATATCAGTCTAATGTCTTTTGTCAGTAAGCACACTTTCAGTTTGGGGAAAGAAACTTCGCTCACCACTTATGGAAATAATTCCAACCCTATGTAGTCATTAACAATAGTGAAATAAGCAAGTTAAACTTACACTGGGGTGTAGTATGCAGCCTGGGGCTCAAGGCACAACTTGCTGCGTTTTTTACCTAAGGAACACATAACTGGGTTTGGTGGTACATGCCTGTAATCCCAGCAGTCTGGGAGGCTGAGGCAGGAGGATCACAAATTCAAACCCAGGCTGGGTAACTCTGTGACTTAGTGAGACTGTCTCAAAACAAAAAGTAAAAGCAGAGCTGGGATGTAGCTCAGTGGTAAGGCCCTGCCACAAAGAAAAAATGTTAAAAAGCACATGTGTGACTTTCACCTACACCACGTTACTAACAGGTCTGTCTTCAGCCTGAGAGACTTTCTGAGCCCTGAAAATCCTTGCTTTGCTACTCAAGCCAGGCCACTCCAGGTTATGCTTGGGAGCAGGGCTAAAAGTCAGCCCTTAAACAGGGCTTGGTCTTTCCCAGGGACAGCCTGTCCTGAAACACCTCTTCCCCCCTCCCAGATGAAAAAAGACATTCGTGTCACTAAAGAGGCTCCAAGGGCTTCAGAAGCCAAATGTCACAATATCACGCTTAACACAACTGCTTCTCAGTCCTAGCACGGAACGACCAGCCAGGTGAGGTAGCGCACGCACTCCTGTAATCCCAGCACTTTGGAGGCTGAGGCAGGAGGATTGAGTCCAGGCCAGCTTGGGCTAGAGCGAGACCCTATCTCAAAAATCAGTAACAAAAATTTTGTGTTTCAAAAGTGAGAAGTAGGGGCTCTTTTAAAATACATTTTTAAAAATGTGAATTACTTGCTTTTGTATAATATACACAGACACCTTCTCTCTCAATAATTAAAAATAATATACACATTCCCTAAACATTTTTATTCGCATAAATTTCCCTGTAATGGCATCATTTCCCTCCCAAAGGGACCGACCTGATTAAATTTTGAAACCGATGAAGCGATGACCAGCTCTAACAGTGTGGTGAATGATTTTCTAGTTTCTTGAGGGTTTGTTAAGATCTCAAATCCTAGCTCAAACCTGGATCTCCTTTGAATTAAAAGATTTAAAAGGAATAACTGTGTAGCTCTAAATGACTAGAAGTCATTTAAAATAAGTAGTTCTCAGATTACTTTATCTTGTCAGCCACCTTTCACATGCAGGTAAAAATGCTGACTAGTTTTATTAGAAATCCCAGCTTTAATTTCATATCTGAATTATGAAATCTTCTTTCATTATTTCAAATCTGAAACTCATTTTTATACACTGGACAAAGCTTTTGTTTCGTTTTGTTCAATTTGGTTTTTGCTGCTTTATTTTATTTTATTTTACTTTATTTTATTTAATAGGACTGGTCCTGACCTTTCTTTATACTTGAATATGGTCACAGCTGAATTGCTGATAAATAGGAAGCCACCCATATTTAATAAGGTTTTGTTTATCACATGTCCAGCCACTTTTCTGAGGTCTCATTTATTTGCTGCCAGAAAGGCATCCAGTATGGTGATAAAATACAAAAATATTTTACTGAAGGCGGAACCAGAGAAAAACCTACACCAGCTGTGTCTGCTCAGTGCTGTCGTTCAGGTAACCTGCATGTGCACCTGTACATCCATCAAGAACAGACTATCACTCTTTTTTTTTTTTTTTTTTGGTTTTTCTCCGGTACCGGGAACCGAACTCACGACCTTGCGCTTGCGAGGCAGGCGCTTTTGCCGCTGAGCTAAATCCCCAGCCCCCAGACTATCACTCTTTAATCAGTGCCTTAGTCAGTGTGTATATTCAGACACATAGAGGCTAAATTTATGGGAGGAAATATTTCCATAAACCCTACATGTCACCTTTTCTTATTAAAAAGTCAGCAGCCTCCAACCACTGCTACTGATCATGAAAAGTATTTTTTTCATCTGGTTTTCTGGTGGCTTTGTTTTTTTATATGGTTTCAGCTATTTAATAGAACTAACAATTGTCCTACCTTGTTAATTTTTCAGTGTGTTCCTATTAAGTGCAGACCCTCATGTTATAAGAGAATGAAGGGTGAATTTTAAGGTAAGAAACCTTGGAACAAGTTTGTTTTAGATGAAGGTTGTCTTAGTCCATTTTCTGTTACTATAACAAAACACCCAAGGCTGCATAGCTTATAAAGAAAAGAGGTTTAGTAAGCTCACATTTTGGAGGAGGAACCTCCAAGACTGGGTGGTCCTATGTGCTTGGCCTCCTGGGAGAGCATGCCTAGCTATAACACTGCAGAGAGACGAAGACAGTATGGATGGTCATGTGTGGTGGTGCACATCTGTGATGCCAGCATTCTGGGAGGTTGAGGCAGGAGAGGACTGCAAGTTCAGTTCAAATCCAGCCTGGGCAAATTAATGAGATTGTCTCAGAATAAAAACAAAAAAGGGTTGGGGCCATAACTCAGCGGTAAGACCCCAGGTTTGAGCCCTAGTACCATGTAGACACACACACACACACACACACACACACACACACACACACAATAACATGTGCCAGGCATGGTGGTGCATGCTTGTAATCCCAGCACTTGGGAGACTGAGGCAGTAGGATTGCTGTGAGTTTCAGGCCAGTTTGGGCTATGCAGTGATTTCAAGGCCAATCTGAGCTATATAGTAACACCCTATATTAACCCCTACCCCCCAAAAAACAACAGCAACAACAACAACAACAAAACACGCAAAAAACCCACAAACAAAAATCCACACATATGTATGACTATCTCTTAGTTTCTGGTTTGGGAGACATGCTCAAGATTTGAGATTTGTCATTATTTTGTTTATACTTCTGAAGCCAATAATTATGAATATTGAACTTTGAATACATTTCAAATGAGTCTAAAAGAATTCCAAAATATGCAGTACACATATGATGAACATAAAACTGTCTGGGCATTTTTGTTTTCTGGTGAAAACAAAAGTAGATAAAGGCATTTAAATTATTTATATTCTTGGCGAAGTTTCTTTAGGAACACATTTTTAGTATAAAAACATTCACTAAATGTACTTAAGAATCTTTTCCCAGAGTTGGCGGTATAATTAAATTTCAGAAATGTATCATCAACATCTAAAGTTTGCCAGGAACTCACCTGGGACTATGAATTATTTTACTAAATGATCTTGGCATGAAGTTGTGACACTGAATTATAGGTCGGTCACTTTCAACAATGCAGAAGACAGCATGGCAAAATAATGGCACTTTTTCCTTACTACCTGTGAACAGAATCACACTTCAAATCGCCACCCCAGGGTCAGCCTCAACTGTACAAGACACCCCGTCACAGCCAGGGGCTGCAGGGAAGTCGAGGAACACGGCCTTCCTGGCTGATGCAGGGTGTCTTAACCACAACTTAATCAGTACAAGCAGTATGTGAACAGCTGTGGCCAGAATCGGCATGTCAGGATTATTCCTTATTGAAATGTTACTCAAATAACAAAAATCTCACTTCAGAGCAAGAAGGAGCAAGTACCTCATTCACTTAGGTGCTTTATGTTCTTTTTCTTTTTGGCAGAATAATGCGATCCAGGACATGTTTTCATCCACAGCTTCTTACACACAAAATTGAGAATTAAACACAAATATCATGCATACTCAGCCCACTGGGAGGTGACCATCTAGTGAGGAGTCCTGGGAAATAATTCACAGGTAAGGCTGGGGTTGCAGCTCAGTGGCAGAGCACTTACCCCGCACACAGAGGCCAGGGGGTTTTGCATAAAGAAACAGGAGATTTGTGCTAAGCTCCCTTATGAAGATTTAGCCCCCAATCCAGAGGCAGCAGTAAGAATGGGAAAGGGGCTGGGAATAAAGCTGGAAGGATGATGGCAACAGCTTCCTTTATTTTTATTCTTTCATTTTAAAATAGTGTTTATGCCTCGAGAGGTTTCTATACACTAGCGTACTCCTCCGAGTCGTTTTGCTGACTGGGAGTTGTGATCTGTGTTTCGCCGCTGAGGAAACACTGACTGAGAGATCTGTAACTTGCTCTGTACTGCGGAGCTGTTAAGAGACAGTGTGGAGATGTAAACCCACTCCCTGGACTCTTGAGCCTAAGTGTCCTCTCCTACCTCTGGATCCGACGTGAATCAGGGACATATTTCAAATGAGACCTTGGCTCCTTTGAAGAGGACGCCGCAGATTGGCAGCATCTAAGATGGTTTCGAATGAGCCCTGGAACCCATGTCCTAGGGTGGCACTAGCTGGAATGCAGGCTGGACACAGGTTTGCTTCTAACCAAGAAAACACAGTGGAAGTGATGGGATGTGAGGGAAGTGACTTCCAAGATCAGCAGCCTCTCCTGGTGCCTGGTCCTTGAGTCCTCTCCTGGACTGCCATTCTCAGAGGAGGCAGCTGCCCTGCTGTGAAGCGGCCTTGAGGTGACATCCACGTGCAGAGGGACAGGGGTCTGCCACACGCAACAGCAACACGTGTGAGCCTGAGGCAGATCCCCCATCTACAGAGCCTCCTGCCTGCTGATGCTCCTATGGACCAGATCCGCGACTTCCCTATAGCCACAAACTCCTAGACTAAGTCGTGCTCAGGTTCTGATAGACAGAAACGGGGACATAATCAATGTGTATTGATTCAAACTGCTAAATTTCAGGATAATTTGTTACCCAGCCCTAACTCGGCCCGCAGACAGCAATCACATAAGTCATTTCCTGGAAGCTACGCGGTACCAGTGGAAGAGAGACTGCACCTGAGATAAACCACAAGCAACCCGCCCAGATGACAGTGCGACCTGTCCTCTCCACTGAAACACACATGCCAGGTCATCTGCCTGTCTCGTCTCCCTGTGGCTCTTCTTACCCTGTCTCTCCTTTTCTTGACTACATTCTTGGGACTAGGAATGCTAACACCTAAATGCTAAGGTTTGTGAAATCATGTTAGACTCATTGCACAGCGGACCCTGTTCTTCCCCAAGGTTGCCCACTGTGTTGTGTTTTCCTCTTCCTAAAGCGCCTTTGTAGCCTTAAACATCTCTTTTCCAGGTGTCCCCTCCCTAATCCCTTACAAAAACATCTCCTGTATAGTCTTATGTTCTGGTGCCTCTTGCTTAACCTATGGCTGGAGTTTAATACAGTTTGAAGGAGGGAATGGCTGGACGGGTTTCACAATCAGTGACTGAGTGAGTAAGTCCACAGGCAAGAGAGGGGGTGGTGGGAAACACCACTTGCGTGTGCCAGGCCACTGTGGGAATCTGAGCCTTCACACCAAGCATTGTCTTCTAGAATGTTCCTCTCACTGACTTCCCACCCCAAACCACCATCATCTGCCAAGCTTTTCCTTCTTTAACACTCACCTCAAGTATCTCTCTGCTTACCTCTACATGCCCATTATGGTTGTGTGGAAGATGTCCCCCAAAAGGCTTTTTGTGTTTCAGGCTTGGTTGCTGATGGGCTTTGGGGAATGGATAGGACCATGAGGACCCTGACTTCGTCAGTGCATCAACCTACTGATGAGTTAAAATTTGGTGGTGTTACTGGGAGGTGATGAAGACCTCGGAGGTGGAGTCTAGTTAAGGGAGTAGGTCATAGAAGCATGACCTTGGGGACTATGTCCTGCCCTGGTCCCTTTCCCCTCTGTGCTAGTGTCCCTCTGTTACTCTGTGCTTCCTGGCTGCTCTGCTCCACCAGGCCCTTCAGCCATGAGCTTCCTCCTCACCTCTGGCCCACAGCAATGGAAACAAATGTCCTCCGCCTGAAAGCTCTGAGACCAGGAGCCAAAACCAACCTTTCTCCTTTGTGTTTATATCAGGTATTTTGTCATAGTGACAGAAAACTGACTAGTACATCCCCCTCCTGCCAGCACACCTGTCCCCCCCACTGAGGCCTTTCCTTACACTCCCATGGTCTCCCAGAATTCCTTGGTTTCAACATGTGCCACACTATGCTGTCCTGGTTGGTTCTGGCCATCCTTTCCACTTGACCATAAGCACTTAAGGACAGCCTCTCCACCTGTGCTGATGTGTCCAGTCCTCAGGCACCCAAACCATTTGAAATTGTGGCTTGCATGGGAAAAAGACAAGCTTACACTCTAGAAAATCACCTTGGCACAATCTGTTAATTCCAGACAAGAGGTCCAGCAGATACCCAGACTGCTCCAATTCCAGAGCACAGTAGAACGGATGTAATGGTGTATCATGGTTACTGACTATATGGTAAAAATATAAGTGGGAGGAGTGCTTCAGTCCATGGACAGGTCCTGTGCAGAGCTGTCTAACCCTCTCTCCTCTGTCTTTCATATTCCTGCCTGTTTCGACCTCAGATCCCCAGTGCTGCCCCCAGGTGACCCCAGGCTTCTGCCGAGAAATCCCCCCACCAGTTCCTCCCCACGACCTGTGTTGCATGGCTTGAGCTTCTAAAGGGCAACTGAGGAAAGCTGGAAAAATGTCCTGGTTTAGTGGGAAAATGGACTGCTCCTGGCTGGCTCCCATTTTGATATAGATCTTCCTCAAAAGCCAGGGCTTTCCTCAAAGCCCAGTGGAAAAAGGCATGGAAAACAGAAGAGCCTCCCAAAGCCCTCAACTCACGCTGCAGAATGGGCACCCTCCTGGAGCTGTAGGGTGACATCCTAACTTAGGACCCCAGCTCCGCCCTCTCTGATTTTCCAATCTTGGACACCCCGACCAGTGTCCAAGCGATTCATCTACAAAATGAAACAGGATTAAGACTCACCTCAAGGGGTCGCTGGGAAGGCTGCCCGGGTTAAGACAGGAAAAGTCCTCAGGAAGTGCTCAGTAAACAATAAGCAACCGGTAATCCTCTGCTACTGCCATCACTACCATTCCCACTGGAAAGAGGGGATTCTGAGGGGCTCCCACTTACGGATTTGGTTGTTGAGCTTGAAGGCGATGTCCAGCTGCAGGATGAAGAGCATGAACTGGAACCAGGGGCTCATCTCCATGTTGGGGAGCGGGATGTGGACGGAGAACACGATGTCATTGGCCTCGATTTCCCTCGGAATGGCCTCCTCGATGTCGCGGATCTTGTCACAGTGGTTGGGTCCCCAGGGCATCAGCCATCTTGCCTTGTGGTGATTCTTTCGCACATCCACGCACTTCACGGACATGTAGGACACTGCTGTCGTGGGCCCTGGAGCTGGAAAGGAGACAAACGGTTTTCTGTTTTAAGTAGTCTGCCTGTGGGGTTCTTTCTAATCGATGTCCTCTGCATTCTAGTTTCTCCCTGGCTTTTGTGCTGCCTTCAGCCACTGGGGGCCACTAAGATTCAGTGAGGATCCTTCAGTGACTGCTAGAGGGTCATAAAGTTATCCCCACTCCTGGTGCCTGGGGCTTCCAGTCACTGGGACTGAAGCACATGTCTGAAAGTAGCCTGGTTCAGTCATCTCTGCACTCCAACCAATGTCACAGAGGTTGCTCCCGGCCGTGGGTCCCACCTGTCAGAGAGCAGGGCCTTGGGGCTTCCTAGGGCAGGTGTCTGAAGTGGGAAGACTGGACCTAAAGCCCACATAAGGCCCACAAATCTTGGTGAATCAGTCAACTGTATTCTAGCCTCAGGCTTCTTATCTGAGAAACAAGATAGCTCATTTTGGAAGATTCCTCTTGGCTCTCAAATTCTGCAACTCCTTGCTTGCTATCTTGGCCTCAGGACAGAGGATGGGAGCTCACACTGTGACCGACCCTTCAAAGCTGTACTGAAATAGGGTCCGTGCACGTCGAGGAATCAAACTGCAAATATATCATACTTAAACCTCGACTTTGCGATCGTCAATGGTTATGTCATCATAACACTAAATTTGCAAAACACAGACGTTTTAAGTGTCAAACAACATGTACCCCAAATCTCACAAGAGGGAAGTAACCACTACTAGAAAAAAATCAAAATACTATCTGTTCTTTCTGGTATGTAATTATATAAAATTTGACACACAAATTAAGTTGTATATACAAATATTAGTGTGTTTTTACAACATAGGATCAAACACATCGTTTTATAGCCAGGTCTTCCTATTTCGTATTGAGGCGGGGTAGCAAGTGAGGGTCTGCAGCCGACTAGCCGGTGTCAAGTCCTGACTGTCCTATTTCTAGCTGTGCTGCCACAAATCCACTCGAGGAAAGCTTTAGGTGAATCACTAAGCTCGTCTGTGCATTTGCTGCACCATTTCTTGAAGGGTAATAATAATAGCACCTATTTTGCCGGGTCTCTCTACACATTAAACAAGTAGCATTTGAGAAGCACTCAGAACAGCGCTTGAGCACACACAAAAAAACCCTATAAAACTGGTGTTAGCTATTATAAATATTTTTCATTTAATTCAAAATTTTCAGTTGCAAAAGTCAATCATATAAGATACCAAACTTATTCTTGCATCAGTTTGCAAAAGTGATCTATAAAGAACTGTAATCTTAGTATTTTTCTGTTACTAATTATTCTACACTTTTCCATCTGGTGTCTAAATTTGTTTATGACACATTTTAACACAGAGAAGTTTTAAAATCCCTCTTTCCCTTTATTTTTTTGTTCAAGCTTTCGTACTTCTTAATCTCCAAATTCAGTGAATAGCCATGTACACTGACTCCTAGTTTACTTTTTACAATTTCACTTTGTAAACACTTAGATAGTTGATTCATCTGGAATTTGCTTTGACATGGTTAGAATGTAAAGTTATCAATTCTTGAGCTGGCCCGGTGCAATCTATTTTTAAATTTTTTTTTTCTGGTACAGGGAATTGAACTCAAAAGTGCCTTGCACTTGCCAGGCAGGCGCTTGTGCCACTGGGCTATATCCCTGGACCTCCCTGCTACAGTTTAGAATCCTATGACTTGCTGGTTTATATCAATTCTTAATGGAGTAACTCCCTCTAGCAATCAACTTCAAATAAATATTGTTCTGCTGAAATTTTTACAGTGATCATGTTAAATCTCTAAATGAATGTGGACAGAATCAACACTCTTTTCCAGCATTTAGTTTTCCTATCCAAACAGTACTTGGCTTCCTATCAGCTGAAAGTTTTTTGGATTTCTTTGAAAACTTTCCCAGTTTTCTTCGTGTGAGTCCTGTTAGTGTGGCATAGTTTTAAAATATATCTATAAAACTTTCTTTGAAAGTTAATAATGGAAAGAAAACATAATAAATCATGGTTTTACTATATGTGTGGTTTACATATATTGAATTCTGTGCATGTGACCCTTGGCATGCTATATTACACATTTTCTTAGCAGAAATCCTTTTCTTTAATAGATATCAGGCAGCAACTAGAAGAAATCTGCAAAGCAAGAAGTAACTATGTAGGGGGAAAAGTGTGTATTATTAATATTTGGTGTACTTTTAATGCTCAACTTCACAGTTTTACTCTTCCTCACCTCTAATTAAATCCACAGTTCTCTAAGTATCCATCCCAATGGTAAAGTTTAGGTAGTAAGATGTTACACTTGCAGAAAGCTGGCCTAATGATAATTAACACTTACAGGAAAACTCAGCACATCTCAACTATAGCTGGAGTATCCTTTGATATATCAGTGTACTGTCTCCACAGTGAGGGTCACTGCTAGCCCAAGCTAGGAAGTTTTACTTTAAAATGCAAAACTGAAGTCGGGTGTAGTGGTACACACCTGTAATCCCAGCCCTTGGGAGGAGGCTGAGGTAGGAGACTGCCAAGAATTTGAGGCCAGCCTGGGCTATATAGTGAGTTCAAGGCCAATTACACAGAGAGACCCAGCTTTCAAAAACAAAACAAAACAAAAAAGCTTAAGAACTTCAAAAGGGTACTACAAAGGCTTTTTATACCTGATTCATCAGCTACCTGGTTTATTATTAGACACATGAGTCCATCAACTTTGGTTACCATGACTCAGCTAAGTGGCTCCTGACAGGAGAATGACCAAGTGGCACTTTTCACGGAACCCTTTCTCATGTGGGTGGAGAAATAAACAGTGAGACCAAAGTCATGAATTCTATTTTTGGTTAACACATTCAAGCTATTTGTCGTGGAAGGTAGTTACTACATTTTAAAACTTCTCCCAAAAAGGACCTAACCTTTTTTTATTTTTTCCTGATTGAAAAACAAGTCTCTGACTTCTCAAACCAAAATGAAAACTAACCTGGACCAGCTGAGCACCCCTGCTGGGTCCCAAACCACACTTCCAAGGCGCAGAAGCTGAGCCATCCTGGGTGGGGCTGTCTGTCCGGCTGTCTGTCCAGTGGTCTGTGGTCGCCAGCCTGGACAGCAGCCTACACAGCCTTCATTCTACCTAAGGTTTTGTCCATAAAGAAAAAAATCCTGGAATACTAATATTTTCACAGAGGTCCTGGTGGTGGGCTTGGAGAAGCCTCAAGCGCATGTTAAGCTTTCTTACAAGAATGACATAGTTTCTTCAACAGACTAAATTAGCTCTCCAGTTGCAAAGATTGTTTTTGCATAACTTAAATACCTGAAGACGATTCAACATTTTCCTACGAAGCTCAGAAGGAAAAAAATGGCTCTGTCATTTGAGAAAACACACTGACAATCCTGATACTCAAACATGGGCAGTAAATGTTTGCCCAATAAATCTTTATAACCTGGCTTCCTGCTGCAACTCAAAGTCAATTCTCTCAGGGGTTTCTTTAAGGCCAAAGCATACGGAGCAAACAAAAAGCAAAGTTTATAGCTCATAGCCGGTGGCCTGGCACAGAAGGTATTTTCATTCACTAGTTGTGGCCCAAATTGTGACTGTATGTATCGTAAAACAGAGTCTGGAATCAAAAGAAATTTGATGGCTCTTTAAATTTTTTAAAGTGATTTTATTATAAAGGAAAAGAGCTAAATGGAGGCAGTTGAAATTACCTGTAACCTTTGAACAAGATTCAGTCACTACCGGACAGGTCTGTAAGGAAGGCCTTCCTTAGTCACTAACCAGAGCGGCTCTGGGAATTAACAGAGCTTGTGTATTTAAGAAGGGGTGGGATTCCAGTCAACAAACCCTGTCCTGTTTGCTCAGGTGAAAGCTAAAAATAACCACTCCTCAGTACTCCAGGGTAGTAATGTGATATCACCAGCCGCCCCAGCGCATGTTATAAATGTCTCCTCTGCCCCTCATTGGAGCACAGTTTAGCTGAAAACAAGTCCAAAAGCTACTTCCACACCAACGCAATCTAACAGAGAGCAATGTGGTCAGAAATGAGTTTGCCCCATTACTGTGAATTGATTAGCTTAAAGTGTGGAAAAGACAGCTCGGAAAACATGCGCAGAAACTAAAAGACCACGAGCAAAGCTGCCCATCCCGAGCGCGCCCCTTCCTCATGGGTCAAATGTACGCCATTTCCCCTTTCTCTCTCAGGATTCCAATGCAATATTTTTGGCCTCCACTTCTCCACTCCAGTATTCAAATGTGATGCTTGATTGTATTTAAAGAGGTGTGCAATAAAGTGAGGCTTCTAGCAAATTCAAGGTTGTCACGAAATACGCAGCACAACTGGATGCTTCTTTGAAAATCTGGGGGTCCCTCACCCACATCGCTGCCTTCACTGTCCTGCGTACCTACTATGCGCTAGACGCTGTTAGATGCTGGGATGCAGCCCATGGACCTCGGCCGTGCAGAGTGGACGCATACTGGAATCTCTATAGTTATTTATAGGAATAACTACAGGAAAATCAATAATAACTGAGGTGACTGTTGTATTTACCCTAACATTAGCCGAGAAAGGCCAGCAGTCGGGTATTTAGGATGTAAGAGAAATGAATACACTAGAATGGGACAAACATTCCAGTCATCACTGCAAGGTGACAATAAAAATATAAATGAACAATGACCAACCGTCTTTCTTAGGGACGAATATGCTCCAACTCCAGCTGGCTTCCTGTTCTCTCAGCCCCACGGCTACCCAGCACACAAATTACCATCCGGCTAGCTGCTGTCATCGCCCATGCTCAAAGCTGAGCCAACACCAAGTCATTAGCCCCTACTCCCTCCAGAACCTGGCATTAAGATGTTGGGCAGAGAGAGATACAAGACGCGGTTGCCTTCTGGACAAGTTAAAATAAAACTAAAACAACATACTGATGGGACCTGTGGTCTCCATGTGGACCCACATGTGCTATTTCTTTGCTTTACTGCAAGCAGCAAAGATTCCTTCGGCAGCTAGCTGGAGCGGTACAGTGCCTGGGCACCGCACTACCTCAAGACAGGGCACAGGACCGCTCCGGGCTCGCAGTTGCGAATGGTGGTGGTGGGGGCTGGGGAGTGTGCAGAGTCGCAGCCCGAGTACACATGGCTCAGGCAGGGGCTCGCACGGTAGCCTCTATTATAAAGAGATCTGGGGTGGCTACTTGCAGGACTTATCCTGGGAAGACAGCAAGCATCAGGAGACGGGGAAAGGGGACAGCAAGGGGAGAAGGTCCTGCGCCCGGGCACAAGAATCACATTTTCTGCAGATGTCTGTATTTGAGAGCTGAAAATTAAAGGGCCCATTTACCAGGGGAGAAAGGGCAACAGCTCCACTTCGCTTGGTCTCAGCCCTCCCGAGCAGGAGCGCAGTGAGATCCACCCGGTGTCCCGGCTCCCACTCCACGTGGTCCTCGCTCTGCAACATCGAGCACTCGGGGCTGGGGACTTAGCTCAGCGGCAAAAGCACCTGCTTGGCAAGTGCAAGGCCGTGAGTTCGGTTCCCGGTACCGGAGAAAAACCAAAAAAAAAAAAAAACAAACAAACATCGAGCGCTCGAAAGGAGTAATCTGGGAGCCACCCACGGCATGGAGCTTTTACTCTGGCCCTGTTGCCTCTGGAGGTCCTCAAAGCCACAGGCCGGGGGAGCGGCTGAAAGAACAGAGGTCCGGGTGGGAGTGAGGACGCGCCACCCCTGCGCCTGCAACAGCCCCTGAAGAGCCTTTGAAGTCTCAATCATCGCGTAATAACAGCCTCCCCTAAATGAGAGGAAGAATGTCTGTCTCACAGGGAGAATGATACTTGAAGGTGAGTCTGCTCTGGGCTACACCGGGGAGGAATGTGGCGGGCAGGCTGGTCGGTGAGGGTAATTCATCTTTACAAGCATTAATGAGCAGAACCCTGCAATTTGTAGAAAATAATGAGTCTAGAGTGGTCAAGGAATTTGGAAATATTTTAGGGAATTTTATTCTTACAACAGCATCTGGATAACAAAAGGGGCTTCAGAACAACAACACACACTGCTTGAAAAACATGAAAATTGCTACCAGACCTTTTCTTCTACAGCCCTAGAGGGAGGTTGATTCAACTCTTAAACTGAGTCTCCATTAAAAATCAACTATCACTACATCGGTACCTATAAAAGCAGGAATGTTTGATTTATTATTTGTGTGTTATAGTTTCATTTATATTCTGCCTTGCTCTACCAAAAACTCTGGGGTGACCAGAAGTATTAGCCTTTTTTAACACACTTCCACCGGCTTGAAGCACCGGGACATGGCTGTCCCAGCAGAGAGCTTGTATCACTGCTGGCACAATTGGTTCTCATCACTTTGATCCGTCTTTTCACCAATGAAATTAATAAATTGCCACCCAGTGGGATAGTCATGCATGGACCACCAGTGGTTCTAGCTGCCTGGCGGTAAGACATCTGACCCCATTGTGAATTAAACAAATAATAACTGGGGCTGATTTAAAACACAGAAATTCATGAGAGGCATTAAGAATTGCTTTTCCTATATCTGGATTTTAATTGTGGCTGCTTTAAAAGTATAGAATTCATGAGGGGCATAAGTTTTACTTGGCCTATATCTGCATTTTTTAGTAAAGAGTAATATAAGCTCCCAGAACTATCACCTGAACTATGAAGTGATCCAATACCCATATCACTTAGAATGTGCAGAAGATTTCCATTGCCTGGCATGAACAGTGTTTATAAGAAGTTAACCAAAAAACAGTATATACCCAGATTGGTTTCAGCCTTGCCTATCGAAATATCTATCTTGCCTTATGGAGAAGCATTGGGCGCATTGGGCATTTATGTCCTTGGATAATTCCAGAGGTTGCTTAGAATGTTTTGACGGGCATTGTGGTGGAGAAGGTAGTGGAAAGGAATACAGGAGACAGAACTGGAGATTAAAGGCTTTTGTGTTATTTACACGGCCATGATTTTTATCAGAAAATCCCTCTTAACGTAAGAGAATTCAGCTAAATTTAGAAATTAGCTTTCAAACGTGTTCCACTGAGTCCCCTTAGACATTCTTCGTTCCTCTCTGAAGCTCAGAAGCCTTAATCCTGGTTAAAAGGAGGCATGTAGAATAGGAGGCGCAGTTTAAGTAGCCAGATCACATTTTCTGCTTGAGTTGTGAAGTTTTAGACAACTAAAGGTTGTTTGAGCCGATCCTGTGTGATGCCATCCAAGACCACTCCTGAAAAGGGCCCTTCACATCCTCCAGAGCATGGATCTAAGTTTCGGCTCCCTGGAACGGCAGCTTCAAAAATTTCAAACTAAAGAGAGCGAAAAGGCTGGTGTTAAATTGACTTACTGCTTAGGAATTGACTGGCACAGTCTGTCAATTCCTTGCCTGAAATTGCTCTGAAATTAATAATGGTCACAGTAGAACATGTTCTGCCTCTGCCGCTTATTTGACGATGAAATTCCCCTACATTTCCACCGCACTTGTTAAATCTTACTAGATTACTAAGCAAAATATTAATTCACAGCTCAATCTCAGTTAATGGAGAGCTGAGATTGTCTGTGAGCCTAGACCTGGAGGAGCGACTTTTGGAATTATTGTAGCTCTGCCACTGTGCATCAGCTGGGGTACGGTAAGTGAAATGCCAGCAATTTTCAGTAAGTAGCTAATTATGCTAACATCTATTCTAGGAAAGCTAAAAAATTTCAATACGGCAGAACATTCCTGTGTTCTAAACTACTACCACCCAAACACACATGCACACGCTCCATGTGACAGACTGGAATGCGAGGTAATTTTTACTGTACATAGAAAAGCCAAGAACTTATTTAAAAATAGTTCTCTATGACATAAACTTATGAATAAATGACAGACGTTTTGACAGCAAAGCTTCAGAAATGGTAACAAATATTTGTGTAATTCATTCTGACTCAAGAAAATATTAAAAAATATTATATGTTTACATCGTAGGTGAGGATTTTAAATACTTGGGCCCTAGCTTCCGTTGTGTAGTGCCAAAGAGGTCACAGCTCTGAGGGGCAGAAGAATCGCTCTGTGCTTTTCAGAATCTCCACGGCAAACAGCGAGCAGAGCCCACTTGGCTTACACCGCTGGCCTGGCTTGTGTCCTGTGGAATTAAATGGCACTGGAAGCAAGAAAAAAAAAATTCAGAGTGTTTTGGAACACAAAGCCAAACCCATCCACAGTATTTGAAAGTCTGGGGTAAACATGAAATCATTTTAGACTCCATCGGTGCCAGTTTCGTGTTTTTTTTTAAAAAATAAAATAAAACGCACATCAAATGACCTTCCAGAGGTTTGCCACATAAAATTCCCGTCATGAGACACGCTGACCGTGCAGGGGCCAGGGGTCCGCATGTGGATTTAAAAAGGAACGCTCACCTTTGCCATCCTGAAGCGAAGAAATACTATATGAGGAAAAATGACACGAGTATATCAAATTCCTAACTTTCACCACAGTCCCTGACAAGTCTGCAATGGCTGTTTCTCTATCGCTCTAGTTATACGCAAAACAGCAAACGTGAAACCCACAGGAAGAGAACACAAAAGCCGCCCCAGAAAAGCCAAGCGGCCCATCTGTGGACGCCACTGCTCCGGCCCGGCAGAACCAGTCAGCCAGGCTGCAGTCTAGACTTCGGAATTTGCTGCCTTCCAGCCAAAAGACCACAGGGGCGATGGGCTGTAGTCAGCACCGCCTATGGAAAGTGGATTCTGGGTCTCCTGATTCACTCCTGGGCCTGAGCTCAGAAACCAGCCAGCACCGGGGCTGGCAGAGCGGGAACCTCGCAGTCCCTGAGGGCCGCTGTGTGCCTGGGGTGATAGAGACGGACAGTCAGCTGCGCTTCTTGGACAAGCAAACTGTGGGCACATTTTTGTATTGGAATTTGAGGGGCAGGAAACCCCCAAATTAAATCCGCTAGGAGAAACAGCTGCACTGTTCAGAAGTAGAAATCCCAACCTTTACTACTTATCCTTTATCACCAGGCAGCTGTTCTTTATCCATGAGAGATCCTCTGCTTTTATCAGCATTATCGATGTTAACACAAGTAACAGTGAAGACACGGGTTGCACAGCACTTTCACAGGCCCCGCGGATCCAGTCCTCCTGCTAAGCGGTGGTTATGATCACCTGCATCACACATCGGGAAGCTCGGTGGGCTCTGTCCCACCGGTGAAGGGCAGAGCTAACGGTGGGGCCTGGGCAGGGCTTCACACCTGTGCTCTCTTGCTAGTTTAGTATTCACATACTTAGGAACTGTTCTTTAAAAAAACCTGAAATAACAAAATTAAATAGACTCACTATGCCAGTGACATATTTTAGCATTTTATCAGTTCTAGGTTCCAGCCCAAGTGCCAAATCTCTGTTCAACGTATTAAATGCCTAGAACACACCAGGCTCTGAGGTTCCCGTTTGTCCTAAGTGAGCCTTGGTTCCTCACGTATGATGGCATTTGGTGTGTTCTTATTACAGTATTCTACTTTATTCGTAAACACAGCTCTGAGCCCTGCAAAGTTATGACGTCCTACAGACAGGGCTGTATCCTCTCTCTCTTGGTGACAGTTAGCAGGAAAGCTGAAACATGCAGACCCTTCAAACATGACATATTTATGGCAGAAGATCTGTAGGAGCTGGGTGTGGTGGTGAACCCCGTCGTCCCAGCACTCTGGGAGGCTGAGGTAGGAGGATCCGAAGTTCAAATCCTTCCTATAAACAACTTAGCAGCGTAGTAAGACCCTGTCTCAAAATAAAAAATACAAGAGGCTGAGAATGTAGCTCAGCAAGAGGGCCCTGGGTTCAATCACCAGTTACACATACAAACAAAACGTTAGAGAGACATATTACATCATAGCCAACACAACATTCAGTTATGCTTGATGTATTTAACATGCTTTATCAAACGCCTGTTAGATATCATTACAGAAGCACCATAGAGGTTAGGGGGGTGGCCTGCCTGCGCCGATGCACATTTACGAGCACCTGGGAGACTGGAAGAGGCCTTCCCTCCTCCTGCTGCAGGGGTGCACATCTGCCCCAGCCAGGCCCGCTTCCTACAATACTTCCGGTCATTTTCGCAGATCCTTGTCAATCGATACAGAAAAGGGACACTAAACTCTGAGGCCCAAAATGAACTTGTCCTAAACTATAACCCCAGTGTGCACAGAGAAAAGTCATTTATGCGTCAGAAGAAAGGAGACACAGTCTGGGAGACTGAGGCAGGAGGACTAAGAGTTCAAGCCCAGCCTCGGCAATTTAGCAACTTCACCAGAGCCTGTCTCAAAATAAAAACTGTTTAAGAAGGGATGTAGCTCAGGGCAAAGGCTGTAGGTTCAATTTCCAGCACCACAAGAAAAGTGAAAAGAAAAGGAGTGAGAATTTTTTTTAAGTTTATTTAAAAAAAATTTTTTTTTGAGACAGGCTGTTGCTTTGTAGTGCAGGCTGGCCTCGAACTCACAGTGACCCTCTGCCTCCCTGAGCCTTCCCTGAGCTGGGTTGACAGGTGTGCACCATCAAACAGGGCTAGAAAAATGGCAAGTTTTATGCAACTGTTCCCAAGGGGGTTCTTGCCAGCACTGACATCAGGGGCGCACTTTGGGGAACTACTCTGTGACACAGCCCTGGAGAGTGAGCTTCTCAGAGCCGGGACTTCGGCACCTACCTTATTCTCATGCTGCTCTTTCACCATAGAGTGCAGAATAGTAAATTCCATAGGAATCATAGCACCACTAGGTTACAAACGTCTCACAGCTAGGACAGCACCTTAGAGCTGAGAAAACTAAAGTCCAAGATGGGTTGTGCCATTTGCCTGCTTCCTGGCACAGAAAGACAAACTCGGTGATCCAGATTCCTGTGCTAATTCACTCTGCTGAGAACCTTGTCCTCAGATTTGTAGAAGTTCAGGACAGCAGCCACTGTGGCCAGAACGGACTCAATAAATGCAGCATGCACACCAAAAGCTGCCACCGGGGCAGGCCCACAGGTCTTCTTCCCGTCCTTGTCCAGTGTCAGACGTCCCCTTTCAGCCCATTTGGGCAGGGCGGCTCCTGGTCTTCCGTCTAGTTAATGATCGAGGATTTCTTTTACTATAATGTGCAACATTAGGATTATCAAGAACAAATGCAACTCCTGTTCCCCATCTTAGTCACCCGTGTGTTTGATCTGCTTCTGTAGCCACCTCTCCCTGGCCCCCATTCTGAGTTCGCTTTTTAGATGAGCTCTATACCTCTAGCACCTACGAATTCCCCTGTGATGCGACAGATCTATTACTCAGCTCCCTTTCATCCCTCCCCAGGGAATGACAAACCGCTCTCTGCTGCCTGTGTAGCAGCCCTGAGGACACCCTTTGCATCTCTCCCTCTGGTTCCCATCCCATGGAAGCAACTGAGCTTGCACATTGCTCCTCCTAGATAGCACCTCCCTCCAGCCCCAGGGGTCGGGGGAGGATGGGACCGCGCCCCGGGGAAGCTGGTGGCATCTGGAGACTCGGATACCTTCCTGCACCCTGCAGCTCCTCCAGCCCAGCACCGCTGTGCTTCTCTGTAACGTTGGTACTTTCCGGGTAACACCGGCTGGGAGAACTGAGTTGGATCTACCGGGCCAGCACCATGCCTGTCCTCTCCTTCTGTTGTGTCGGGTGTTCGAACCCTTTCAAGGGGGTATTTGCTTTTGTTCTCTGGTCGTGTTTGTTTGTAAGGTGTTAATGAAATGGCCCGCATGTTCTCTGTGTGCATTCTTAAGAACAGGGGCCCATCCACACTCTTCACTCATGCAGGCTTCACACACAGTTAAGGCCGAGATGAGACACTCTCCTATTTTGTTTCCCATTTGCTCCCCACCCATGCAGTCCTTACAGCTCTCGGGCTGAGTGAGGCCGGAGGGTCGCTGTGAGTTCAAGGCCAGCCTGCACTACACTGGACCGGGACGGGAAGAAGCCCTGTGGGCCTGCCCCGGCGGCAGCTTTCTCTGCACGCTGCCTTTATTCAGAGTCCACTCTGGCCACAGTGGCTGCTGTCCTGAACTTCTACAAATCTGAGGACAAGGTTCTCAGCAGAGTGAATTAGCGCAGGAATCTGGATCACCGAGTTTGTCTTTCTGTGCCGGGAACCAGGCAAATGGCACAACCCATCTTGGACTTTAGTTTTCTCAGCTCTAAGGTGCTGTCCTAGCTGTGAGACATTCGTAACCTAGCGGTGCTATGATTCCCATGGAATTTATGAATTCTGTGCTCAGTGATGAAAGTCAGTCTTGAAAGTGAAGAAATGCTCTGCAATTAGGGCCAGTTCACACGCCAGGAGCCTTGGCTGCTGAGTCTCTACGCACGTCGTCCTCTCTTGCATTTTCCCATTTGCTGGAGGGACGAACCATGGCCTGGCTGTATTTTTTGTTACTCTCTGGGGTCTGAGTGGGTTCTGGGTGTTTTCTGTCTTCCAACAACTGGTGAGATCAGATAAGGGCTCCGAAAGCCAGGGCGAGCTACAGCCCGGTGCACGACCAACTTCATCTAGAGGAGCTCAGCTCACCCCAGTGGAATCCCTCTTGGGAAGGCGGGGCCAGTCCAATCACAACAAAAACCTCTAGGGAAAAATAACAACAACGAAAAACCCCTTTCCCGCTCCCAGTCCATCTCCTTCCACTCACAGACTGGTTCAACACAAAGACATTCCAGTACAATGAAATAATTTGGATCATGTCCAACCTCTATTTTTTAGAATGACAGAAATAAGCTCAACAGAGCTAAGCCTATTGTTCAAAAGAAATGAAAGTCGGGGCAGAGACTGCCCTAAGCCAGCAGTTGTTGACAGGGGGACACCAATTCATCACATTCATTAGGGTTTCATTTAAATTGCCGGCTTCCAAAGGTATTTTAAAATGTACCCCAACTACCTCTAAAAAAAGAGAGAAATGTCCTAGGAGAGAACAGCAAGTACAGTACGACGAGGGAATTACTTTCACAGGCGTGGTTCCTTATGGCACCATAGATATCCAAAAAAAAAATGTAAGAAAAATTAGAAGCAAGATCTCTAGACTCAGAAAAACTTAAGCTCAAATCCCAGCTCTGTTCCTTCCTGGCAAATGAGCTGGGAAACGTCCCTTGCCTTATAGAAAGTCGGTTTGCCTTCTTTGGCCAAACTGTGCTGCCAGCATGCGCTTCACAGGCCACGCAGGCTGGAATAGACTGCTGCATTAACGATGCTGTCAGAAGAGGGAGGACTCTCTGATGGGAGGGGAGGACACAGTCCTTGTTCTCTGTCCCTGTTCTGCTCTCTTCCTCCGTGGAATGGGCTTCCCACCATCCCAGGAACTAGAAGACGTGGGTCTTGGGTACCATAAACAGGTGTTTTTGATTCTCAGTGACACCCCAGCAAAGAGAGCCCATCCCTAGCGATTTTAAGCTGACCATCTCATATCTCTGATTAACATCTAAGATCTCTCCTCATCTATGCTCATCCATACTCTCCATACTCCTGGCTCCCTACCCCGCCCCCACGGGGTTTTTCAGCCTTGATTCCATCTGGAGCCGGAGAGCTGGGGCACTGTCTCATGCAGTGTGGAATGCATCACAGGTCCCTAGCATCTGCCATGAGTTGCCAGTTGTGTCTTCTTCTCTTCCCTGTCAAGTCCTGAAAGTAAAAAATGTCTGCAGAGGGGCTGGGGATTTACCTCAGTGGCACAGCGCCTGCCTGGCAAGAGCAAGTTTGTGAGTTTGATTCCCGGTATCAGAGAAAAACCAAGGGAAAAAAAAAAAATGCCTGCAGAAATTGTGAAACATCCCTTGGGGAGCAAAATTCCTCCTGGCTGAGACCTCCTACTTTAACCGAACCGCCCAGATTCAGGAGAGTGTCACATTGTCTAAGTCCCTCTGTGGTAATATTCTTTTAAAGGGATCGACCACAAGGACTCCAAGTTTCCAACAACCATCCCTGCTAAGCTTTGCCTGCTGCTAGCCTGACCACCTCAGAACATCATCTACAAATGATAAATGATCATGAGGACCCCCATTTATGTGTGATTGATATTTGTGTTTTGTCTGCAGTAGGGATTTACCTGGGTTGATTTTCATTCATATACGGAAGTAAGTGGTGGACAATACTCTTTCCATTTGGAGAGGGCTAAAATGAGGCTCTAAAAACACGAAAACCACCTATTCAAGGTCACAGCTAATAAGTGGCTGACCTGGGGGTTGAACCTAAACCCATCTGAATTCAGTTTCTCTGGGTTAGGTCGCAGCTTTCCTCCTAAGGGAAATGAGTGCAGAGACCCATGAGCCATGCTTCGGTTGTGAGTCCCGTGCATTCAAATGTCCAGTTCAGTGTCCAGGCTGCTGTACAGCTTGGTGTCCTCAGCGTGAAGCTGAGCAGCAGTGTGGATGTCTTTGTTCTAAGGACACCAACAAGCTGATTGTTGAATTATGGATTTTTCACCACGTAGAAACAACAAGCGGTCGCAGTTGCTATGGCAGCAGAGATAAACTTAACCTTGAGTGGAACTCCAGTCACCAGGAAGGGTTAGTGAGGATGGGTAGGAGCCTAAACTAGTCAGGGAGTAAATCACCTGAAGAAGAGAAAGTGGAGGAAGAGAAATGCGGTCAGCTTCAATTATCTGAAAAGTGGGGAGTCTCACAGAAGGGAAACATGTTGTGGACTATCCCGAAGGGAAAAGTCTGGGATTCGTGTGTGGAAGTGACAGCGTGGCCATGGGAGACAGTTCTCCACTGAATGCTGGGAAAGAATGTGTATTTGCTGCAGGGTTTTGACTGGATTAAAAAATTGAGTGATCTAAAGAGAAGATGTTTTGTTTCGGTGAGAACAAAAAGGGGAGCAGGGAAGAGGACTCTGCTGGGAGACCCCACTGTGGGAGGTGGGACGAGACCAATTCCCAGGCTCTTCCAAAACAAAAATCTGTTTCTCTAAAGAGTGAGTAGATTGTGGGTTCCCTGTTGCAAATATCCAAAGGGAAGGCAGGGGATGGAGGGTCTGTGCTGGGAAGGCAGCTCCGGCAGTACTCATCCCACATTGGGAGAGAGGCACTCCAATATATCCTGGGAAGACGATGTCATCAGGTGACACCAGGCACAAGAAAGGAAGAAGCAGGTGGAATAGATGATCAACGGATGGGCAGTGAAGGGGAGCAAGAGACCGAGAATCAAGTAGATCTTTTCCACTACCTTCCAAATCTTTCCATTCCGATGGTCTTCCTTAAAATTGCAGCCGCACATCAACTACTTTGACCTGCAAACTGCATTTA